TGGGGATTGAACCAGTTACTTGCAACCTTCTCAGAGCACAAGTGCACTGCTCCAACCACTAGGTCAACACTCTGCCTAATTTTACTAACACTACTACCAAATTTTTCTTATCAACATGTACTTTTGTTTTGCTAGTAAATTTTACACAGAAAAATACAGTCATGGACATAAAAAGAGAATCTAGAGAGGCCAATTAGCCTTACAGTCATGTTTTTGAGAGTAGAGAGCGGGAGAACCCGAAGAGAACCCATGTATGCATGGGTAGAACATGCAAACCCCTGCAGAAGACCCTGGACCAAAGCATTGAACTCAGAATCTCTTGCTTCAAGGCAACAGTGCTACAAACTGTGTCTCCATTGAGCCAACAAAGAAACAATATTTTCAATTTTTGACCTAAAAAAGGTGAGGCCAGGAAAAAGGCACCAATTTACTCCTAATATCCAAATACATATTACTTGCATCTGTTAAGTTTTGGTAAAATGTATTAAATTTACTTGTCTTTTAATGCATATAGATTTATAAATAAATTCTTATTAAGAAATTAAATTAAATGCGTCATTTTGAAGTAAAGCCAATAACATGGCAATCTGCAAAGATTTTACATAAAAAAGCAAGGTAATATTTACAGGACCAAATAGTCAGTTTTTTCCGTGCGTATATTTACACTAACATAAGTGTCAGCTATAGTCATTGTTTAATATATTAGACTGCGGGAGAAAGTGATCAGTAAGATCAGTTGATATTTGTTTCTATCTTGTTTCTGATTGTGTATGTGGTCTGGGAGGGAGGGTGTTGATCATGGGGTATCTGTTTTGTTATCTGACAGAGATAGTGGGAATCTATATGGCAATTTTTTTATATAACTATATTTTTTTATATAACTTCCATGAGCTTCACTGAACAGTCTGATCCCTACTGGGGATAATGACAGAATAGAATAGAACCGGGAAAAAATCGTCCGTAAAAATATTTGACAGGGAACATTCAGGTAAACCAGCAGCCAAGTGATGACACAACCGAAGCGTACAGACAGATTTACACAACAATGAAAAGTTGATGACTAAACGAATGATTCTGAACACCAAGGGCAATTCTAAAGGCATAATCAAAATTGTAGTACAGTTTAACGCATACACTCCGTGTAAATGTGCAACTGAGAAGGAAGGTTTTAAAAACGAGTCAAACATGCATCAATGTTTGTGCATAAAAACAAACAAGTGTAAAAAGAGCAAAAACAACAGGGATGGAAACACTTCAGTGTTTCTGACTGTAATGTCAGAGCCATTGTGTTTTCAACCACCTGCACTAGGTCAAGGAACCATCCTTGTTCTTTCAAACAGAATCCTAATAAAATATACTGAACTTTACAGTGTCATAATTGGTTTAAGGGATCTGACCCACAGAGAACCACTCAGAGACCAAGGGAAAAAGTTTAACAGGTTTATTGAATGTCGATGAAACACAGAAGTAGGAGCTGGAACTCAGTAGACTGGTGAACCAGAACAGGAAAGTCTAAAGAAGATGTCACAGTGATCAGTTCAGGGACCGTAGGAAAATTGACTGAGGCTTGAATATAGCTGGAGAGAAACTCACGTTTGAGGGGGCTCTTGTTAATCCTTGAATCCAGTTTGTGGGGAATGAATCCAGAGGAGAGAGAACTCATTGGAGAGCGGACAGGTAGACATACATTGGACCCAGAGGGGTAAAGGAGCGGACTGTCACTTGGTTTTCCGATGAGGACTTGAACGGATCATGTGGTCAGTGTGTACTCAGTAATCCTTCCAGGAGGAGAAGGTCCAGGTTAGCCAGTTACACAGGAAAGGCTTCCTGCCGAAGAGCAAAGACAAAAACAAGATTAGACTCCGAGAAACAAAGCTTCAGTTAGACTCTGCTATACTCAGCTTGGCTAGAATATCCAAAACTGGCAAACACGAAGTAGTTGACAGCCCACTGCTCAAATACTCCTCCGGTATCCAACGAGCTGCAGGTGTGCAGGGAGGCCCAACAAGGAACAGGGCACCACCTGGTGGTGGAGAAAGCAAAACACAAAATAACCCACACAAACTGGATTCCTAACATGCAGAGTAGCAGCAT